TCTGATTTTGTTGATGTTTTTATTGCCATGCAAGAATTTCTTTCAAAATCTTTTGTAATCACATTTATAAATCTCTTACTGCTTCTGGGTTTTGTCGTATTTAGGAAAGTTAACTCTTCTCCCAAATTATAAAGGAATTCACTTTTTTTCCCCCTATAGAACTGGTCTGTTTCATTATTTATGTTTAGATCTTTGATCTGGTTGGAAATTATTCTAACATATGGTTGAAGAACAGATCTGATTCTTTTTTCTTATAACTGTCCGAGTACCCAACCATCATTTATTAAAGTTAGACCATACCTTATCAGGTTATCATCATAGTGTCTGTACCCGGCAGAGTGTAGGCTCTCAAAAAATGTTTGAATAATTGAAAGAAGTACTCAGAGATCTTCTAGTCAGTCATTTTATTAAAAATTTGATTATCATCTATACTTCTAAAAAGTTCTTTAAAAATGTTTAAAATTTATTAGAGTAATTTCAGTGAACATGTGCTAATAATGCAAGATATAGTACAAACTTTGATATGATGCTCATTAGCTTGTTAGTGACTTTTTCATTAATTTTAAACCTGGAAAGATTAAAAAGTACAGAAAAATAGGAAGAAGAAAATACCCATTTTTCCATTTTCCAGAAATCACATTTATTTTTTAACATTTTCTGGGGTTTTTTGGGGGGGTGGGGAAGATGTGTATTGTGGAATATGAACCATACTGCATTTTTTTTTTTAAGATTTTATTTATTTATTTGACAGATAGAAAGCAAGGGGGAACGGGAGGCAGAGGGAGAAGCAGACTCCCCGCAGAACAGGACTCGATCCCAGGACGCTGGGATCGTGACCTGAGCCAAAGGCAGACAATCAACAGACTAAGCCACCCAGGCGCCCATTACTACATTGTTTTATTTTGGTTTTTTTGCTTAATAAAGTAGATGAGTGTTTTTCTATTAGTCTTGGAATTCAAGTTTTGAGTAACTATGATATTCCATTATATAACTACCACAGTTTGTTTAATAGCTATTTTGGAAATTTTTAAGTTTTTTTCCATGATGGGTTATGGCCTTATAATAGATTTTTAATTGTGGACTAATGGCTCAAAAGGTCTTGGGTTTTTTGTTTTTTTGGTTAAAAATTTTTAAGTTGCTTTTCAGAAAGTCTGTACCAATTTACACTGCCTCTGGTGGGGGACTTTCTCATTTTCATTACCTGCATAGACTATTACTTTAAAAAATATTTATCTTCCAGTTTAATAAAGATAGGACCTAGTTTCTAAGTGTGTTTATATGACTACTGGTGAGGCTGAATATGTTTTACTTAATGGATGATTTCTTTGTGATTTATTTGTGGCTTATGGTCAGAAATCTTTTGGAATATTGGTATTTTCTTACTTGTAAGAGTTCTTTATGTATCAAAACTATTTTTTTCTAAGAGTTCTTTTTATATCAGGACTATTGTACTACTGTCAGTTATTGTAAATATTTTCTCAATTTATAATAAAGTTTGCCTTTTGTCTTTTAATTTTGTTTATGGCAAAAGCTAATTTTATGTAGAGGGTAGTATTGTTTATCTTTTTCTGCCTTGATTTCTTTCTCTCTGCGTTTGAGTTCTTTTTTATTCTTTGATCAAAAAAAATTGTCCCTATAGTTTCTCATTAAAATGCTTAACAATATCTGGCATGTGGTAGGTTTGTTAAGTATTAGTACAGTATATATTGTACTTACTTTGCTCCACCTGGAATTTATTTTTGTAATAGTATAGGACTTGACTTGAATCTTAAGTGTTAAATCCTACACATCAACCAGATTCTCTATTTAATAATGGGGGAATATTAAATTCTAATATGTTCATGATGTCAGGTTAGTATAAATGTTAGGATCTCTTTCAGGTCTATTTTTTTTTCTTGATTTAACTACCTAATTATTATGCCAGTATAAACCAAAATCATTGTTGCTTTATAGTAAATTCTTTATGATCTAGCTACCGATACTTTTTTTTCATCTTAACTTTATAAACATATCATGATCTCCATCCACACACACTAAAAACTTTAAAAAATATTAAGATTTGATTGGGCTTATACTGACCCTGTATATACCCTAATATACCATTTTTTCCCCTGGAATATTTAGAAAATGTAGCTGAAGAAAACATGTTAATTGGTGAAGAATGGCCATTTTTAAAAGTAGGTATTCTTGTTAACTAAAAAAAATGGTCTGTTCTAACATTGTCAGAATTTTTATATCTCTCAGTAAAAGTTTAGTTTTCTCCATAGAATTCCTTACTTGTGATCATTCCTTATTTTTAAATTGTTGCCTTTGTGAATTAATTTTTTACCATTTGTATTTTATAGTGGCTTATGTATTATATATATTACATATTTTATAGTATATATGTATTATGTGTAAAACTCTTGGATTACTATTTTAATAGTAATCAGTTTTTGACTGATTATCTGCATTCCTTTTATTCTTTGAGTTGATCTGTTGAGTAAACATGTATTTTTCTATTTTCTGTAGTTATATTTCAGTTTAAGAATCATTGAGGTAGTTCTCAATAAAAAAAAAAAAAACATTGGCCCTGTTTTCAAATGAACTTTGTCATGGAATCTTTTCATATAAAACATGAAAGTGCAGTTGTATTAAAGTGAGGGCAGGAGAACTAGAACTAGAACACTGCTTTCCTGGTTTTACTAATTATTACTGAGATACCTGAGGAAATTAGTTTGAAAACTATTGCTAAACCATAAAACAATGTCTGATAAGTAGATTTTGGCTATGGCTTATAGTAATTTCTTCTAGTTTTAATTTTCTGATAGTATTTATTTTTTAACTCATAAGTGGAAGCAGTTTTATTAAATTCCTTTAAATAAATTTATTGTGTTTATAATGTGTTTTCATTAACTTGTTTCAAACCTTCGGTATGTTAGAAAATTCTCATTGCCATCAGAATCTCATGTTAATTCTGTTATCTATATTCTAGTATGTGTTTTTAATAGCATTTTAGTTATGACAAATAGCCTTAATTAGTTTTATTCTGTTGTATAAATTTGTATTTTAAACATTTATTTAAAAACTCATAAAAGCATGAATTCAGTATTTTGCATATGTTAGTTTTCTGTTTAATATTTTTTTATGATCTTGACCTGTTTTTTTCAGTTTTTAGGATATTGATGAAAGTGAGATATTCACATTTAGAATCTGTAGGATTCAGTTGGAAGTTGAAATAATTAAGATTAATAAACAGAGGCAATTACTTTAGCTCCAGTTGTCCTTTAGCTCAGACATTTGCTCTGTAAAGGGAGAGAAAACAATTCCTACAGATACAGAAGTGTTTTTCTTCCTCTTCTGATATATTGTATCTTGAAAGTAGTAAGATTTATAGTTAGATCATGCTTAGAGGAGGGTGTGTTTGTGTGTGTCGATGAAGTGCAGGACAGGTTTCTTCCTAAAACTCAGAATGTCACTTTTTAGTATTTGTGTGCATTATCTGTCTTCTGAGAGTAATGTTTGAGTGATAAAGTGATATTCTGTGAGGTATATTAGAAATGTATACATAGTAGCAGTATTCTTTCGTCTTCTTAAACCTATGCTAATTTAACAGTGAAATTTTGTAGTTGAGCAGTAAAAAATGGAAAAACAAACCCAAAATCTAAAATCAGCTAGAAGGATTTTACCAACTCATCCCAAAACAATAGGTGACTAACCAGTAGAGTGAATAAATAGTGTTACTTTTGTTTGTTAGAAATGATCCAGTTGTGCTTCACATAGCCACCTTTTTTAAAATTTCTAACTGCAACATGCCTATTGTTTACAGATGTATCTCCATGCCCAAAGAAGCAAGAGATAAGCAGTAATGCTTAGAGTTTTCTGAGGTTTTGCCCATCAGATATAAACAGTTAAAATGGAGAAGAAAAATAGCAGAGGGATCAGATTTCCTCTTTTCCCTTCTCTTTATTTGCACCTAACATTAGGTGCCCCTCCAGTGTTAGAAAATGGTTATGAAGCCTTCCTTGGCAAAAGATGAAGAATAATCAGAGAACAGTAGAATAGAGGACAGGCCATTTTTGCTTAGCTCTTTAGACCTTACAGCAGGTGTCACATGTGAAATATATAGCAGAATAACATAGTGGTTGAGATCATGGTCTTAAAGGTGGAACTCTTTTCCATCTGCTTTTTTACTAGCTGTGTGATCTTAGCTATTTAACTTCTTGCATGAGTCTTCCTTTCCCATCTCTTAGTGTTATTTGTAAGGATTCTATGAGATCATGTATGTAAAGTGTTTAGTACCAGGCATATAGTGTATGCTCTATCAGTAAATAGTTCCTGCTGCCCTTCTTGGTAGTATTTTTATAGGGGTTTTGGTTAATAGATGTCAGTAAGATTCCAGTTGAGATTATATGATTCTGCTGTATACTAAGAGGTGAGAAATTTAAATTATTTGCTTGAATTAGAATTTCATCACCTATAATCTTGATCAAAACAAACTAGTGTAACTCTTGAAAGTTTTAGTATTTTTATCCCTTAAAATATTTATTAACACTTTGAGCATAAAGATTAAAGTTGTTCCTGAATTTTTTTCTTTGACCAAATGCAGTGCAAATATAATTTAAAATTATATTTTCATGTGTAATAAAAAAATCATATAGTACTGGGCATGAATAAGGCACAGTTAATACTTGGTGAGATGTTGAAATATCGTAATATAAAAATTCATATTTTCTGAAGAGTTAATCTTGCATACTGAGAGTGGAGGGACAAAAATAAATTAATAAAACATTTATTTTAGGGCACCTGGGTGGCTCAGTCGTTAAGCATCTGCCTTTCGGGTCAGGTCATGATCCCAGGGTCCTGGGATCGAGCCCTGCATCGGGCTCCCTGCTCCGCAGGAAGCCTGTTTCTCCCTCCCCCAGTCCCCCTGCTTGTGTTCCCTCTCTTGCTGTGTCTTTCTCTGTCAAATAAATAAATAAAATCTTTAAAAAAAATTTATTTTAAAATAAAGATTTTCAGCAGTAGTAGGAAACTTTATTTGATCCAGTGTTCTTTGAGAACGCAGTGTTATCAGCTTACTATCAGTTCTTAAAGTATTCTCAGGGATATTGAAATGATTTGAAATTGATGTCTGAGCTGGGAGAAACTTAGTTATCTGTTAAGAATTCTGTTTCTCGTTAAGTCTGCTTTTTAAACTTGAATTTTTCCAGAAGGAAAATACTATCTTTTAAAAATCCTACACTGTAATCATAACTTAGGCAAGTAATGCTTGGGTTATGTTTCTGGATGCATACCTGTACATGCATACCTGTATACACATATACTCCCTCTCCTTTTTTTCTAACTTCTTAAGTGTAAATGAATTACTCTACATTAAAGGAAGAATTACTTTTGTCTCTCATCAGCCTTATCTAATTTGGTATTATCCTCTTATGTGTGATTATTTAATAACTTTGGCATTTAGTAATTTTAGTCTTTTTATAATCATATAGAATAAGTAAAGTGAAAAATGAACTTAACCAAGAGCTGGGGGTGTTATATAGCTTGGCTTTCAAAATTACTCTTATGTATTCTAGAATACTTAGATTACTAAACTGAAAATGGGAGATAAATTCAGTATAAATAGAATTCATCATACTAAATAAGTACTTAAATAGTTTCTGTGATTCTGAACTTTAACAATTATAAGAATTCTGTTTTGGTACAATTTCTCTTCAGAAGAGAATCAAGAATAAAATTGGTTGTCATTAGAATTAGGATAAATAATATCTTCATTAGATTAAGTTTTACATACTTTTATGAAATAAAAACACTTAAACTTAGCAGGTTACTATTTCTTGATTTTAAAATTTGTAATGGAGCCAAACAAAATTACTGTGAAAATATTTGTACTCCAACACTCAGTAAAGATTTTCTTGTTTACCTTTTTTTTTTATTAAAAACTTGGTAAAAGTGCATTGTATACATTGTCATCCTAGAATCAAGTGTTCATCAAACATTTATAACTTTCCCCCATCCCTCCCAAAAAAGGTTTGAAATTGGTGACGCAGAACAGTTGTCGTCTACCAAATTAAAAACTGCAGGTTTGTAAACTTGGCACTCTGAGAAAGAAATAGGTGCCATAAAATGATTAAGTATTGGCATGTGTACACCTGCTGTCAGGAAATAAACTTCCCATATGTTGCAGTTTGGCAGACATGCATCTTAAAAATGTATTGAATGAAACTGCTGCTGCACTCTTTATCCTGTATCTTTTTTCAACAGTACATTTCTCTTTTTGCCTGTAATTACTTTTGCTTCCGTTAGAGGAACGTGATATATTTTTACAGATATCCTTGAAGTTAAGTGGTAGTACTCCTTAAGAGTGCAGTAACTGATCTAGTAACTCATTGAAGTACTAGCTTGGTCCTTAACACCAACGAGGAAACAAACTATTTTGAAACATTTACTTTTTTTTCTTATAAAAACTTGAGCCTGAGACACATTGATTTTTCACATTTTATCACATCATGTCAAAATAATTTCCCCCAATATATGTACTAGTATAAGAAAATGAATATCCCAGTTGTTTTTAAAAGGTAAATACTTAGGTGAGAATTGCACTGATGAAACAGCTGAACTTTATAAATGTATTTATGGACTAATTCAACTAAATCTTATTGCATGGAATATAGTTTCAGAACCCTAGAATAGTCAGGTCAGAAAATTTGTCCTTTGCACAATTACAAAGTTTCCTTAAGATTGATAGTATTGTTTTATTTACATTTAATTATATGTTAAAATGAAAAACTGATTCTAAAATGAAGGCTCTTTTGACTGTATCCATTTCTTAAAATTTATGTGGAAAATATATGCAAGTACATCTTATTGGCTTCTAACATAAGCCTTGAACCATTGATGTATGCATGCTTGTTATTGCATGTTAATACACAGAATCCCCTTATACAGTTTTTTTTTATAGATTCTTTTGGGATACCTTTTTGTTATATAATGTTGTATTTTTAATTACCTTCAGAAATTAAAAAAATAATTTTTGAATTCCTTTATGTGATGAGTTTTAACTAAAACTTGTCCTATGGATGTAATCAGTTTTAACTATACATGCTTTTAGCAATATTTTACAGATTGCACATTTGAAAAAGAAATTGTCTGCTCTAGTGTAATTTACGGTGGCGATACCTGCCTGCCTTTTCTTTTGCTGCATTGGCACAAGCATTGTGCTTATTTTGTTGTAAATGGTTCCAGTATTTTATCAGTTCACTAGGCTGGAACTGATGAGAGGTAATTAGGTGGCTGTATTTACAGCTCGAGTAAGAAACTCGCCAGTGATTGAACACAAACTCATTGGGAGGGGGCACAGGATCAATTCTCAGCTTGGCAAGACAGATCCCTACATATACATCTTCTAAGTGCAAACGACGGATACTTAAAGAAACTTTAAATATCTTCTCTGCCAGATCTCCAGAAAAAACATAACCAGTCCCAGAACAAAAGACAGGGTAGCGTTCACTTGGGTAGAGGTCTGGTGGCATGTACCACTTGCTATCTTTGTTCCGATTGGGTGCATATCCTCTCATTAGGTAACCAGTAAAATAGTTATGTCTGGGAGGCAGGTCTGGCTTCAGTAACTTATGTATTAAATATTCAGTGTTGACAAACATGTCACTGTCAGTTTTCATAACATATGGAATATGTGGACAGTATGTTGCAACCCAGTTCATGCCCATAAGTGTTTTAATTGTCAAATTGTAGTATGTATCTAAATATTCCTGTTGAATTATATCATGATACTGTCTGCTTTCTTCCAGTATTGCACGTTGAAGGTAGCCATTTAACTTAATATTTACGCCCAACAAAAAAATTCGTGTGATTTGGATACCAGGTGCTAGACTTTCATTTCCCCACGTTTGCCGAATAGCTCTTCTAGCTTCTACTTGTCCAGGTTCTGCAGCTATTAGCAGTATTAAAAAAGGGCTTTTCTCCTGGCATTTTTCAGGTTCATTGATAATATATCTGAAATGGTAAGAATTTGGATGTCCGATACCTTTTTCATTGTAAATACTTCCATTGGCACTAAGGGTATTCTCCAGCCCTGTAACTCCTTGTGGCGACAGGTCTGTGTTATTGGAGTTAGTTGCTGTTTGAGGCCTCAGAGTTTGAGGGACTGTTTCTTTCCAAATGTTCCGGAGAGAGCTGTGGTTTGTCTCACTTTTTGTAGAACGAAATCCTCGGAAAGTATATGTCACGGGGTTTTCTTTAAATCCAGCTCTGCCTGGCAGCCAGTCATGATGATTGAAAAATAAAAACATAGCAAACAGAAACACTAGAGAAAGTACACCAATAAGATGGGTACGGAACAGAGACCTCTTGGCATTCCAGCTCATCTTTGCAAAGCAGCAGTGTCTTCTCCTCCACTGAAGCATGTTGTAAATATCCAGTAACGGGATACGAGATAGTACTGATGGCTGAAAATGTTTCCTTCTCCCAAATCGGTACTATTCTTTGGTAATCATTTTTTAAATCAGCCACGTTGTCTCCCATGCAGTCATTCTATAAAGATGAAACATAAAAATTTATAAAATGCTAAATATTTACAGAACTGCCTGAAGAGAGACTTTGGATGTTAATAATATTAGGGCAAATAGGAATTTTTTAAGTTGTGAAAATATGATAACCGAGGAATTAGTTTATAATTTGTTTACCCTTGGTAACATAACATCACTGAGAACAGGATGAACACTTCAAAGAGAGAAGTGATGGATTGATTTTCTTCCAGTTATTTCACTGTCTAGGTAGCTCTGGTCATTTGTACTTTTGACATGAGTTAAAGATTTAGAAGTTGTATGCATGTAGAAGAGAAGAATGTTACTAGATTCCTGAGAGAGGCCATGTAAGAAGGCCTGAGAGCAGATGGAAAATTTATTGGCATTAATTAAAATTGATTTGACATACCATTGGTGTTATGGTGCACGGTCAGCGGCCTTTTTTGTAAAATGGTCATGTATCAGTTGTGGGACAGACGGTGCAAGGTTGATTATGGCAGAGTTCTGTTAGTCACAGTACACTGCTTGGCATGTTTCCATTGGCCCCTACTGTGTTGAGAAAGTCAATGAGAAGATGCACCTGTCAAAATTAATTTTCAGGGTCCAGTAACTTCAGTACAGGATTTTAAGACAGTAATAAAAGACGAACATTTTCAAACACTTTCTGATTTTAACCTTCCACTTCAAAGATGAGGTATTCAGGAGATCATTGTCCTTACTTAGACTTAAGATTCATTTTTAAAATATAGCAATTATCTTTATCTTTGGCCTTGGCAGAACACTTATCACATATCTCAGTTGAGTCTCCGTGTTAGAATTAAACAAAGAACTACTTTGAACAGTCCTTTCAGATTTCTTACAAAATATAGGCACTAGGTACTATCATATCCAGCTGTTTAAAATTTTAAATTTTACAAAATGCATTTTGAAAGATTCTTGAATTTTGCTGTGTTCTACATTTGTGTGCAGAAAATTTGTTACATTTTTAGGACTTCTGGCAGCATGATACTTAGAACCCTAGATTTTTAAAAAGATTATGAGATGTCAGTATGGGAAGTTCATGATGCTACATATTGAAAACTGGTGGTGTTATCTTTGAACAAGATTTTTCAGTACATAGCACAAATTTGTTCATGTTTTTCAGTTCTTTGTTTTTCTGGATCAAGATGTGAGGGTAGAGGTGGGTAAAAGGAGCTGTAACTTGATTTCTATTTAAAGAGAAAAAACTTGAGAAGGGGACTGATAACTAATTTTAATTTTTTCAATTTTTTAATGAAAATTATTTCTTACGCAAAAGAAAACTAGTCAATTAAATTTAATGTAGTAGCGTTTATCTAAAAATCTCTGCATATATATCTATGTTTTGCATGATATTAAGAGATTCATGCTTAATACCAAATTTGCTTAGCCTTGACATGAAACTTAATTATCTTGGGGAAATGGTATTTACATGGAAGTTCTCATATAATTGAATAATTACAGGAAAATTCACATATATAGTATGAAGTACTTTGAAAGGGTTAGACATATATGAATGAAAGTACTATTCTAGCAGCAGCCACTAGGAGGAGCAAGTAGGTGGGAATTTGAACAAATTTCCAAAGTATAATAGTAAAGGCGCCAGCTTTTGATAATTTCTAGCATCTGAAATTATGTAGTACTTTTAGAAGTTATGGTTCTCAAATGTAAAATATTGTTCAGTCATTGTGTGAGATACGAACAGTGATTTTTTTTTTTAAGTTTGGGGTTTTAAAAACCTAGAACCTAGTTTGCTATTTATTAGAGTTTATTTACATAATCTTTAATTTCACATTGCTATAGTAAAGACCAAGGCTGTTCACCATCCAGCAAAAGAGTTCTGCTGTGAACTAAACTGAAAATAAGCTGAGAGTTCTGATTTAGAAACTCACTTTTTTTTTTTCCTTCCTGTATTTGTAAATAGTTGGCCATTCTGTTTAGACCAGGAAACTCTTTCTAAGCTTTTATTTTCACATGAAATATTTGATAAATAGTAATGATTCTTCCACGCCATAAAGAAGCCAGTAGATATAAGGGTTATGTGTATAAATTTAAAAGAAACAAAAGTTGCTTTTTAAATTTATTTGGTAATCTATTTTAAACATTCTAAAACTAAGTTAAATATGTCACCTTTTTGTTGATATATGCTTGGTATCTGGTTGAAGTCCCATCATTTATGTCTTTTAAAAGTGTAAATTTGATGGTTTAAGAAACAGTAAATATAAGATCAGATTTTTGAATAAACAACTGAAGAAATGAATGAAGGTAAATATCATAGTAATAAATTGTGATATTTTATGAAAGCAGTATACCTGAAGTGGTATCTCTAAAGTATTTCCATGTTAGAGAAAACAGCATATTATTATATATTGTAATCTAGCATAAATACATAGTTTATAGTCCTATATGACTTTGTAGCACTAGGTGATGGAGATGCATCTTAATTTAAATTCATGACATTCGTATGTTTGTAAATATTAAACTTCCCAGGCTTTAAATTCATATATACTCAGTTGGTAATCTCCCATTGATAAATGAAGTGCATGTGTCTAGCTTTAAACATTTCTTTATTAGAAGTTTCTCAGGTATTTGTCATAATTTTTCTGTTAAAAAGAAAGTAAAATTAAAGTAACTGTTCTTCATTTTATTAAATGTTAAAATTATTCTCCAGTTACTGCCTGTTGTGTTTTAATTCTTAAAAAGTGGGAACATGACAAGAAAGTTAAAATACTGTGGCAATCTAAATAGTTTTGCACTTCTACATTTTCAGCATAGAAATACGTTTGATGTAGCTCTTAGGGTTTTTTTCTGATAATATTTTCAAGTTACTAATGTGTATTTACATGTTATGAATTGAAGTTCATGGAGAGATTGTTAACTGTGAAATGTTCAGTTACTTCTCACATACTCGTTCTCTCTCTCTCACACACAGTTTTTATCATTTGGCTTTTAAAAGTGTTGATATCTTTAGTGTGTTGAACAGTCCTAGATTTTACTGGTGCTTGAATAAAAAAACATTCTGTGCTTTTTAGATATCTAGCTTACAAAAATGTTTAATTGGTGCTGTTAACACTGAGAGAAAAGGATCTAAGAGAGATCTGAGATTTTTCACAACTATATTTTTTTATGTAATACCATCTGATTTCATTCTATAGTGGAACAAAAATTCATGGTATTGGCAGTGAGAGTTGATGTTGAGATGTGATAATAATAGGGCCTGATAAACTTGTTTAAAATTTTAATTTTAGAATGGAATGCTTACATGTGCCTTTAAAATGTTTGCCTTTTGTGATTATTAAATAATAGGTTATTGAGTTGTGTTGTGAGATTGAGCAAATGTCAGGATCTGTGGATAGAACTGTAAAAAATTTTTGAATTTTAGTTCCTGAGCCATGAGTTGCTGTTCTGTGATTGTTGTTTAAATAGTTTATCAGATTTATTTCTACCAGGCACACACATACCATGATGGTAGTTTGTTAGTACATATTAATATAGCCTAGAAGCGCAGTAGCTACATTTATATTTAATTTTTTGTCCTTGTATTGCTGTTCATGAATATTTTTATATTAGATTATTTTCATACTCTGTTTTAAATTTCACTTTAAAAATTATCACCAAGAACAATCTTGTATTTGATTATTTGGAATCTGTCAGTTGCTTAAAATGAAAGCTCACTTTTTCAAGTGGGGGAATTTTTAGCAACTATTGATATTTCTTTGTTTAAAGTTGTATTCATGGACACTGTAATAACATGCAAATCTACTGTGGTGGTGTGTTGTGCATAAAACTCACACCGCCTTATGTGATCCTATGCAAATGCTTTCCTTTTAGTATTCTTATAGCTCTATAATAATATTTGTTGATACTCTCTTAGTTTGTGTTTGTTATCCTTATTTGGGGAGATGGATCTTGGAGGGAAGATTTCGTTAGTAAAAGCTGTTATATATTAATTTGTTTTAAAAGGACTTTGAAAAAAGCTCTTAATATTAAGATCATCTTTGATACTATTTAATATAATTTCACTGCATTGTCTCTTTTGATAGCCGCTTTTAAGAGATCACTTTAATTTACTAGATAAGAATTCATTTTGACCTATTTTGATAGAGGCTTACTGTGTTTTCTCTAGAGGGCTACAGTTTTTTTCTTTTTAAGTTTAATTTCTCAGAGAATCCTCTAAGCACATCTTGTTATTATTTGCCTTTTCTCTCTTTTATACATCCATAATCCGTAATTACTTCAAGCTACATATTTACTTGAATAAAGCAAAGACAGCTTTAACAATGACAGATTTTAAAATCATATATCTAGAAACCCTTTCATAGTTTCAAGGACGGTGAACTGGATGAACTTGTTTATCAGATATTAGTGCCTCCGGGGCTATGAAAAGGTAACAGACATTTAAATGAATATTACACACAAGATATCGACATACCTTCCTTGGTCAGGCCATTTATGTGGAGAGGATTATGCCCACTGAAAATACTTTTGGCACGCCATCACTTCAGCAAAAAAGATGCTATCGAACATGCGCACATCCCCCAATAGTCTGCCTCCTGCGATTGCTTTTCACAGTATCCAAAGTGTCCATCTGTCTGCTTGTCTTCGAGTTACCCTTCTTGTTCATATGGGTTCTAGTCATCTGAGATTTTTCCTTTCTTTCACTTTCTTTCTCGTTCTTTAAACAAAAGAGCTGTAGTTGTCCGCTCTGTTGGAGCACTGTTGACTCTTGCCGACAGTTGATGCATTGAAGCTTTTTACATCTGCTGTTTTCCTGGCCGGACAATGCAGTGCTGTATTCTCTTCTCAGTATCCATATTTCTAGTAATAACACTGAGCTGCAATGCAAAGCAGCCAAAGCGAGAATGTAGTGCTTCGATTGTATTGGAATAGAATAGGATTTAACTCTCTTTTGCTGTTGCCTGGCAGCTGCAGGAAGGATTTTGAGCAGTTTTACTGGGGTTTTAGTCTATAATATGAAATCCACGGTTCCTCAGCTGCTGCACAGGCAGGCAGCAGTTTAAATGTGGGCTTGACAGATGCTCTCTCTGACAGAGCAGAATTTAACGTCACTGCTTGGCTGAATCCCACGTGATTGTTTGCATTCATTTTGACTAAAAACCTAAGGTAGGGCGAAGCTTAGAGATTTTGCTTCTGTGTGATAAATTATATATATTCAGTGTAAGTGTAGTGATGAATGCATAATATGAAAATGGGATGATTATGAAATGGTTATAATTTTATTTTTTCCTTTTCTTTTTTCTTTTTTCTTTTTTTTTACTTTATGCTTTAAGCACAGGCTTTCTAAATGTTTCAGTGTTAGATGTTGGCTTTCATGTTTCTTACATGATTTTAGGGGACCTAAGCAATAACCTTTTATATGTAACTTGGTGCAATTTAACCCCTTCAGTGCACTCCTTCCTTTGAAGTTTATTTTCTCAAATTGCTCCAATTTTACTAGTATCTAGATAAGACTCAGTCCATTTATTTTTTAATCTATAACTTAAATACCCCCCACCCCCAATTTTCTGGAGTTTATAAATCAGCTGGAGTGGATTACTTAATGACACCTGATAGGATACAGCTCAGTTCTTTTTTGCTCTTAATGTGGTTTCTAATGTTCTTGAAAGTAGCAAAACTGTATTTTTAATCACCTTTTAATGTCAGCATTTATTTTTTATTTTTCCTTTTCTTTAAAATTAGCATGTATGTTAGAATTCAACAAAATGATTAGTGGATATAGCATACTTGTACAGGATCTTCTTGGTGAATAATAACGTTTTACTTATCATATTTACTTGTCCTAATATTTCAGGATTGTTTACTAATAACTTGCCTCCAAGCACATTTTTCAGTAAGCACTAGATACTCTGAAATATTTCTTTGTATGGTTAGTCTCCTGGGCACCTTGCTTTTTTTCTGCAGAATACTGGGGCATTGCCTTTTTTTTTTTTTTTTTTCCTCCCCCTTAATAGCCTGAATTATCAGTTTTTCCTATGAGAGTTCAGGGACATTAACTCCTAAAAATTTATTGTTTTAGAACTTAAGCTATGAATTTGTAGTCATATATATGCTTTATCCCACCTGTCTTCCCTAATTAAATCTGTTACTTCAAATACAGGTTCACATTTTCTCTAATACTTTAAATTTTTTTGTCCTCATGTTTTTTAGTGTAGCTGATAAAATACTTTTTGTACTTGGAGGAATCCTGTGATTTTTTTTTTTTTAAGGAGTTTATGTGACTTTCCCAGAAATGTTAGAAGGAATATTAAGAGTTTTATAAATGGGAAACCCAAGGTCTAGAGCTTTGGCTTTTCCTAGTTAAGTGTGAAGGAGAAAATTGGAAGCCAGTTTTTACTTAGTCTCTATGTCTACTCATACTTCATGCTCATTGCTTTTTTTTATATTAAAGGTAGGTAGCAGAGTAATGCTACAGTGCTTACATAAAATAACGTATTTTACAAAAGTAGAGGTGGATTTTAGGAGATCAGTATTTATCAGTAATTCCTTACATAGGATTTGATTATGCAGCCAGCAACAGTGACTATTATTTACCCAAAATCAGATTGCATGCTAAGCCTACCTAAGCTGTAGTTAAATGACTTTTTTCTCTCATAATAATAGTTTTATTATCATACCCATTTTAAAGATGAGGAACCAGTGCTTAGAGTTGTAAATAATTATCCCAGATATCAGCTAACTGGTGATAAGAGAAGCAGGCTAGGAACTAAAGCAAGATTATCTAAGTCTTTATGCTCTGTTCTTAACCATTATACTAGGTAACACTGCTGGAGAAATTGTGGAAATTCTCTTTTTTTCCACTTCTTTTTTTTTTTTTTTTTAAAATTTTATTTATTTGACAGAGAGACATCAAGAGAAGGGAACACAAGTAGGGGGAGTGGGAGAGGGAGAAGCAGACTTCCCACTGAGCATGGAGCCCGATGCAGGGCTCCATCCCAGGACCCTGAGATCATGACCTGAGCCGAAGGCAGCCGCTTAACCGACTGAGCCACCCAGGTGCCCCAATGGGAATTCTTTTATAGGACTGGCACAGCATACCCAGAAATCATTCATAGAATTATAAATGGATGTTTATATTTTCACTTTATTCACTTGTCAAACAAAATACATATTGATCAACTACCGTGTGCCAGTATTTGTAGGTACGCACAGTTTATTAAATGTTAGGGGGACAGAGATGGTTTAGATACCTTCCCTACCCTTTCTCTAGGAAGGATAAAACTATTTTTTTTGCTAGTTCCTTTGATTTGACTCTTTTGGTGTCCCACTGGATTTATTAAAGATCTTGATTAAGAGAGCTCCGTCAGACAACCTGCTGGTTAATGGTTCCCCCAGTATTCGTTTGAGCCCCTGAATTCCCAGTGGACTGTTGTCTCAATTATGCTTGCTAGGGGATAAGGGTTAATACAGCAAAAGAGACTTCTAGAAACTGATAAAAAGGTGCCTGTCTACTTAATCAGAATTTAAACTTTTAGGTACACGTGCCATTGGTTTCTTAAATTTAAATTAAGCTGGCTAAGAACTGTACATAAAGTACAGAAAAACAGAGCAGACACCAGATTAAAGTTCCTTTAGTGACTTTTTCTAGCAACCTGCATGTTTCCAGCCAAGAGAAACTGTAAAAATCTTATGATAGGCAAGCTTGTAGAAGTTCTTCCTTTAGTCTAGTTTCTTTTAACATCTGAATTCTATGGTTAAACTTTCTCAGTAAATGTGACAGATTTCTTTGTCAGACTCAGGAAGCTGGCAGCTGTTTTGTTAAGTTTTATAGTTATAAATGTCTTGTAATTTTTACTTGTATAGGTCTACTTTTTAATCTTATAACACATCCCTGATGGGCAAAATAGGCTATTACTCTGTATTTTGGCCAGAACTGTCCAGGTTGGTTTTAGGATTTTCCTGGGCATGTCTGCATACAATAGCCCTCAGGGAGGCAGAATTTAAAGACAGGTTTTGAATAGCCACCTAATTCTTAGTTTCTATTGAGTACAGAAGTAATAATTACTTTATTCATTTGGCTAGTAGTTTCTGAGTCATTATAACATGATGAATCAGGTTTAGATTTGCTCACTAATAATAAAGATAAGCTATTTCATGGAATTTGCTACCTATATAAATTCAACTAAATGTCCTTGGTAAAAAGAATGAGGGAGAAAAGGGTGTAGGAGATAACACTTCAACTGTGACAGGCGATTCACTGAGAATGAGCAAATATCCTTGAATAATTTGAGAAGAGGAGACATGAATCTGGTTTTCCCTACATTGGTCTTCATTCCTGTTGGTGCTTTAGTATGAGTAATTGACCCCTAAATGCAAGCCATTTTTATTTCAGCCAGTGCTCACCTGAAGAACTAGTTATTTTTTCCAGTGCTAGAGAAAAATCTTAATGTTTTGGATCAGGTGTTATTTCCACCATAGTACTCTGAAAAATGCCATTTGACATAGTTATTTAGAGACCAGCCTTAGTTTTAATTGAGATCAGTCAACAGTTTTGCATAGAGTAATGTTTGCTTAGAGTTTATATCTTTTGACTTAAAATCAGATGAAATCTTTTTCAGTATATAAATATATGGACAAATAGCACATTTTTGGCTGTTTAATATTAGTAAGTAGTTTTTTTGAAGAAAAATTACTGTGTGTTCATTAAGAGTTTACAGTTTTCCTTTGAAATCAGTAGGTGATTTATGAACCAGTTTTACTTTTCCTTGAATTTACAAAGCAGGCATTAGCCTGATTTCAAATTAGCAATCTCAGAATGACCACAAGTGTCAGTGTTTGCCTGCCTTATTTTTCTTCTTCAGTTTTCACCAACTTGTGCAGCAGATACCACACTGTTTTAAGAATTTCTTTTGACATGAAAGCAGAGCTAAATTTAAGTGTCTCTTTCAGAACTAATTTTCAACACCCTTACCAGTTTTAATTCATACAAACTATTAATGATCCTAAGGGAAAATATAAGCATTAAAATCAGCAGTAGTTTGTATTATGCTTGTATGTTCTTCAGTTTCTTAGGATTGTAGCTGTTTCAGTGTAGCATAAATCAGCTAGACTCTCTCATTTGTTATTTGTCACACAGGGGATACTCTTGTTGAGAGCTTTGGTTCTCAGTGGGGGAAATGTTATTTTCTGGGAGGTGTTCTAGAAGTTTATGAGGGTATTTTTTGTTGACAAAATAATTGAAGGACATTTAGTGAGTGAGTCCAGGGAAGGAGGTCTATAGTGGGTGGGGCAATTTTAAATGAACCTAATTAGAATACCAAGTATATTTTGTAAAGTTTTAACATGCACTGAATTTTCCTAGGTATATAACCACAATGTATATTGAAGAAGATTGTACTCAACTTTGTTCTGAACTTGGCCAGTAGTTCGCCATTTCGAAAAATCCTGTTGCCTGTGGCAGTCATGTTTGTAGTAGTTGGCTTACCAATAGAGAGTATACCAGTCTGTGGACATTTGTAATTGTTACATTCACTGTGATTTTATGACTAGGTACTAGCTTTCGATTACTTCATTATGTCTTCTGGTGTAATCATTTCTGAGGTTAATATTGAAATACTTGTGTTTATCGTAGATTTATTTTTTATTTTTTTTAAAGATTTTATTTATTTTGACAGAGAGAGAGAGAGCAGCGAGAGAGTGAACACAAGCAGGGGGAGTGGGAGAGGGAGAAGCAGGCTCCCCGCTGAGCAGAGAGCCCACATGTGGGGCTCGATCCCAGGACCCTGGGATCACAACCCGAGCCGAAGGCAGACGCTTAACCACTGAGCCACTCAGGCGCCCCGTAGATTTCTTTTAAAATTTCATTCTTGTATTTGTTAGGATATTGATTTCCTTTAAAAAAATTACATACATAGGTTGCTTATGTTACCTTTGCATTTCATTTCAGATTGTTAAAAGGGGTCAATGTAAAATATTTCTTACACACAGAAGACATACTGAGTTTGATAAGGGTGTGAAGCCCACTAGGTCAGTATCTTTGAATAAGTTCTCAGGCACCTTACT